CTCAAGGTCATTAAGTCGAAAAGTATGAAAATTGAGGTATAGCCCCGATAGACATACCAACGGACACCAACACAAACCCACTTTATTTTTTGTATATTGCAACTTGCTACCGTTCGTTACCATCTCATGGTACTGATCTGTCACTGAAAATCACTTCTTCTCAAGTTTTTAAAAGCGTTTTGCCGATTCAGTTAAGATTTTCACTTTATAATTTAAAAATATCAAGTACCAGTCGAGTGCAGCGTCATGTCGCTTTTCAAAACACAAAATGAAGTTTCGTCTTTTGAAAAAAGGGGATAATAATCCTGTCCATTATAATCCTCCATTTATGATGTAATTAGTACAAAGCTACGATGACATTCCTTTTGAAAATGCACTAAAATAAATTTATTAACATCATCAGGACGACATAACTCTCAATTATCTCTCCAAATACTTCTGTCGCAATCATCAATTGCTATTTGATTCAACCAGATGATTGCAACATCTATTATACCAAATTTCACGTGTCTTTCATCAATTACTTGGCAAAAACATAATCGATGGGATTAATAACTATATAATGTAGGTACAGATAACAGACATAATTCCGTTTGATTAGTTCGAAAATATTTCAAATTGTCTCCCGTTTATCATATACATAATTTTGAGCGTGAGATTTCAAAAATACCCCTAGGGTCATGCGAATCCCACGCACTTTTTACTGTTCCTAAATTCAAACAAAAAGTTTGTAACGTATGGTTTGTGGTCTGTACTTACATGTAAAATGAAAAATTAGCAGAGGTTAGATATAATGATGTAGTTTTTCCTGTTTCCAAAAGTCTGGTCTAAAGTTGATAATGTTTACAATTGAAGGTTAATCACATCATTTTCTTCTACGTCACTGATATCTTCTTTTTCTCGACTTTTTCTTTTCTTGACTTTATTCAGTAGTTATTGACCTACCTAACGTAATGTAGGTTCTTCAAAGATGTTGGCATAATATGGATTTTACATAGATCTAAATGGAAAGCAAGTTTTTATTGCTTAAGACAGAGCATAATTCCACAATTTTCTCTATTCCCTGGGGCCACAATATTCAGTGTTAAGGGACTGAAGATCTTACATTGAGGCATCCTTATCTTGCCGTAATTTTATTATTCATGAGGATAAATTTATACATTTTTACAAAAAATTGTAGTTTTAGCATTATTAAATCACTAGCTGTTGCCCAAGACTTCGTCCGCGTAGAATGTGAATCCTGTTTTATCCCATGGGAGGATTAATCGGGACCTAAAGTATCCTTTAACCTAAGTCAGCCCATACCTTGCATATATACCAAATTTCATAAAAATCCGCATCCGCAATTCAGCATGATTGACGAACAAACATCCAACCTTAGAAATTTTTACAATATTATGATATTAGTGCGATTATTCACGAAATTACGACCGAATGTTTCTTTGTCAATGTCAGGACTACAGATTAGAAGTAGAGGTATATTTTCAAAATCTCACATTTCCTTTAATGTAATCAGCCTGTTATTAAAAATGGACGTTATCTACTGTATTAACATTATGTAGAATGAAATGAATTTGCGTAATATGAGTATTAAATATCAGGATAATGATAATTTGCGATAAATCGTTGCATATAAGCTAGTCACGTGTTACTTTTTAATTTTTATCTAAGGTCAAGATTAATTGAGGCTAAGTAAGACACCTTTCGTGCGTAGTATGTCAATTTTATCGAGATATTGATATTGATGGATAACTATTTATAATTCTTTGATCTTATTTTTCGTAATTCAGTTTGGGGTGCTGAAATATTTGAGCCTTATAGGTATCAAAAGGTAATTCAGATACTGCTTAACCTTTCATGATGAAATGATGGTGATTATGCTAATAACATGAGAAATACTTATTAACTGCAAAAGTTTGTGAGGATTTATGAAATATGTTTAGTTTTGTTACTCTTTTTCGAAAAAAATAATGGATGGATTAGGGTGAAAAGTATCTCTGTACTAAATAATACTAGAGATAGATTATAGTACGGCCGGAATAATAAATTGATTAATTCTGCCCCCGGAATCCGGGCGACGCCACTGGCAGGAGTAGTCATTAACAATGCTGAAATGTTTAAAACTTTTCAGGCGTCCCATTTATGACATGTTACATTTTTACAAAAACGTCTATAAAAATATATTCATTTAAATGAAATACGTTTTCTAAGGCCGCCGGAAAATAATGAGATTAGCAAGTTAGTAATATTACTTATAAGGAGCAAATTCATAGATTTGATTATTGAGATTAGATATTGTAATAGGTAATTCCACTGCGGATATTTGTTTACTATTGATATTACGTGTTACCTTACACAGACGGGTTGTTTGGCACCTCAGACCAACGACGAGCACAAAGGGTCTTTTTGGACCCATTCTATTCTATTTGTTAACCTGTGTCTATTGACTCTTGCTTTACTCGAACCTAATCATATATTCTGATACCGTGAAAGAATAAATTATATTGTCTACTGAAATCTTAGGATATGGAAAACTAAAATTGTATGCAAGAGGACTCACATGTGGTGCCTAAAAGACGAATCTAAATAGTCTTGCTTAGACGAGTCTTCTTCAAGTTTGGGGGGCATTCGATTAATGAGGCAGTCTGGTCACTTTTTTAAAGTATATTTTTGTGATAAATTGATGAATTTTACTTTGGTTGATTATTTTTGTGGCCAGCTAGGATATAAAAAGATATTAATGAGTTGTTGGTGAATTTCTACTGCAAGTGAGTGCTGTTAACTGCTGTTACTCGGTCTGTGACTATAGTCCCATTGTCTGTAAGACGAAGAAGGGTATTCCACCCACGTCATCATAAGACTTTCGGATTCACTTGGCTTTTGTATAGAAAGCTTTTGATAATTACCAACACATTCTAATAACCATCATTACTTGTAAATCGTCGCAATCACATTTACTGACCAAGAGATTCGATTCCTGGTTTAGGAAAGTATTGTTGAGTGTTTCGATTTTCGCATTTATCCGGTAGTCATAGATAGGGTTTTACCGTGTTATTTTTAAAGAGCCATCGGACCACCACAGATGTGGCCTAATAGGGCTGATGCCGATACGGAGCCGCGGAGGACTTAACAGACTGCCGGGGCTCCGGCTCGAAGCGCAGGAGTAGGAACGGGGAGGTTTTTGGTCAGTAAGAGTCTGACACTACCTCCCGCCTCACCCGGCGAAGAAGTCATTTGATGAGTTTCCCCCCTTAAAAAAAGGTTTCTCCGTGGTTACATAAGATAGACAGCTTATCTAGTGAAATGTAATCGAGTTACATTTTATTATTGCACTATACCTCTTCATATGTAACATTTTTGATGGCACTGACGGCGTCAAGTTATCGGTTGTTTTTACTGCTATTTATACTATCTGGCAATGATAAAATACTTTAGATTTTTATGAACACTTACATAAACTTCAATCATATTGGACAGTCACTCTAGTGGAACTTTAACTGTATTTTAATGTCGTTTATCTTCCCTTGCGACTATGACTATCGATCAAGGTGTGATCTTAGGGCCGATTTTGGAATTTTGCAAAACTTTTGAAATACCTCGTATACACATGGGACTATAGAAAAGTTTATTTGAATAGAGGTAACCACTAACGTATTGCATTTTGGTCTCGTCGAGCACCAGGTGAATTGAAGGAGCTTATGTGTTATGTTGTCTCGTTGTTAGATTAATTATAACTAAACAGAGAGATGTGGTGACGTTTCTTAGGCTGAACAACACTTGAGGTATTTTCGACATATTTGTCTAACTTCATAATGTAGGTACTTTACATTGTTAATAAGACAATTTGATCGACCCAAGGACGCCTCCTTGTAGACCGCCATCTACCCTATCCTATGTAAACAGTGATTTCCTGAAACCATTGACGACATTAACCTTTATGAAACTTATTATTTAAACTGGCAACTTGTGATACACACCTACAGTGTTGCCATCTTATATTAATGCCATTTAGTGTTTTTTCTTTACGTGTTTTAAACCGAATTCGCTTTATATAACAGGTTAATGGTTGATAAAACCATGCAATTATATAACACTGATTTCAGTACTTTTAGTATGTGAAAACCCTAGGCAATGTATGCATGAGACAAAACCTTTTATATACTTTTCATTGTAATAGCAGTAGGTACTCATGGTATCTCTAACTGTTTCTTTCCTTCCGTTTAATACTTACAATACTTACGATAACTTTAGTTGCATGGTATCAGCCAAAAACACGTGAGACGAACCTCTTTTAGTGTTGGAAAAGCGATGCATGTAGCTATTGTAAAATTTAGATTATGATTACTAGCACAACTGATGACTTAAGGCAAGGATACACAAGGGGACAAAATGTCCTGCGACACGTGTCGCCAGCGACGTCGGGTGAAGTAGCACAACGTCGGATTTTGGTCGACATGTTAGGCAACATCAACGTCGCTGTGGACATAACTTACACATGTATATGTCAGGCGACATCGGCCGGCTTCGCTCGACATGTCGCCGATACAAATCTTCGGACATTTGTCCGTTAGTGTATCCTTAGCTTTAACTTCATGCCCATATTTTCAAGTAAATCCGGCTTCAGGATTACCTCGTACTTTAGTTTTGCCTCATAATCAATGAAAATTATTATTACTTAATATTTTTTGTACAGAATATGAAAAGATAAGAAAATGCATGTTGTTTTCGTGTCGTGTACAGTTACTCGATTTTTTAAGTGATTAATAATACGACACATGTGCTAATCCCAGGAGAATATACATAGATTCAGTAGGATTTCATATGATTTCATATCATTGTTTTATACTTTAAATACTTACATAACTAGCCTACATCTTGAGGTTTGTCACCCATGATAGCAAAAAATTGAATATTAGACTAATTTCGATCTAACATACAAAACTTGGTAAAGGATTTTAACAGCGATTAGGAACTTAAGCATCGTATGTTGTCCCAAACAGGTGATAATAGACAATGCCTACAACATTCCTGACCTGGACTCTCCAGTTCGCATGGTGAACCCTTCCACTGAGCTGCTGATAGCATTGTCACCTGAGAGGACGTACACCACATCAGGGATCAGGACATTTAAACCTGACCAAAGACAGTGCTACTACAGTGATGAGGTGAGTGACCCATACAAAATACTTACAAGAACAAGTTATAATTAAGATGGCTGCTGTGTCGAGGTAAGTGTTAGTGCTGAGCTGACTAGTTTAAGATTCGATCCTGTTAGAGCAAATTATAACTGATTATTAAATAAGCTACAGCTGTGCTCAGCTCATCTACACCGCCAGTGGTATCGCTGCTACCGATTATAATTCAGGATTCAGGATTTTATAAAATGCAGGCAATTACTCTACGCATAGCAATTTGAATGAGTTGCGGATGGCACTGAGCTTAGAATTGTGCTTGGTGTATGGTAAGGCTTATCCCTTTCTTTGAATTACGTGGGACTTGTAACCTAACGGTGAAAAGTGAGTATTACTTATTGTGTGTGTGCTTCGGGAAAGGAAAGTTGTAAAAATAGGTGAGTAGTAAGGTTATATTTTAGTGGAAAAATCTACGACACAGATTCAGATTGTCTATTGTATTGGATTTTATGTTTTGTTGATTCTGAACTAGTACAAAGTTCTTAGCGACAGCTTGTATCTACTTAATGTAAAGATTCTTTTAATTATAATTATCCTTGTTGTCCACATTTTTACGCTTCATATCAATAGAATCGTTCTAAATCCCTGCGATAAAAGTTAATATCGTAATAAAATTTTATAATAAGGAAATGTTATGAATTATTTTTAGTTCTTTATTTAAGTAACGAATTTTATCAAGACATAGTGTTTTTTTTTACTTTTTTACATCAAAGTCCAAGATGTTTACACAGCACGCTGAGAAAATATCTTTGCGAAAAAGGTTTGATCGACCAATTATTTAGGAATTGCTAAAAATAATCCGATGAATAAGTTGTAAGACCATAAAAAATCAGGTGTCCCACTTATCAAATACATCAGGGCTATGTGTTCTTAATCTGGTTTGTCATTCGATTGATCTATTAAAACAATAAGATTATTGCGATTAATTTATCTGTAAGTAACGCACTTCGTTACTGTTGACGCAAATAGGACAGATACGGAGCCTTGCCGATTTACCTATCGAATATATAATCATTAAATTATATAAACATAGCGATGTACGTTAAATGTAATTAATTATTGACGCATTATATGAGGCGTTTCGTATCATATGATCGGTATGTTATGACATTAGTCAGCTAGTATTTTTGATTCGTTATGGGTTTAGTGACCGGTCGAAGACTACAATCTTGGTGTTGATATGCGCGTCCGGTTTTTGATCTAACTAGGGATTAGTCATACCTTATTGATAAAACAACAACATAACCTGTGTCCTAAAGGATTAGAAAAGCTTAATTTTGTTTTTTTATGGGATAAACCGGTAAACGAGTGGATCACCTGATGGTAAGCAATCGGCGTCGCCCATGGACACCAGAGGCGTTACGAGTGCGTTACCTGTCTTTGGGAATTTGAGGATTGTGGGCGATTCGGAGATTGGGAAGACTGGGGAGGGGGGGGGGGGGGTAATTGGAACTCCGGTAACCTCACTCGACGAAACACAACGCAAGCGTTGTTTCACGTCGGTTTTCTGTGAGGTCGAAACGTACCTAAAAAGATAGTGAAGACCCCTTACGATAGTCGCTACAAGATGTTAAAAATAAAAAATGTTCAAACCTATGGATACATTTAAGTCCAAGGTGATATTTCACACACTCGCCACTATTCGACAGATTTGCTTTTATATAACTCGTCTAACCAGACAGTCAATCAAATATCTAGGTATCCATTTATATTTGAGTTCGAAAATAAATAGCCGTAAACATGTCTAGCCAGAGAATAGAAATACTCCGATCTGTCTATAACTACTTTTAGCCATAGTAATTTGGCGGTTCTTGAATCTATATTATAAAAAGGTAGTCTGTTTGCGACCAAAATATTATGATATTATGAATAGACATTCTTAGAAGCTTACTCCTATTAAAGGCAATTCCGAAATATATATATGGTTTCTTTGCGTAATTCATTTACTCATTTCAATGGATAAAATTATACATTATAATATAATTTTTAATTTCCAACTTAGATATTTTTGGATAAGGTAATTAATTGCTGTATTCTTTTAATTTTTTATGGTAATCGTGGCGAAGCTCTAGGTAAGTATTTTAAGAGACAGGGAAATAAATTAAATAGTTCTTTTCCATTAGATACTTCAGTGAAAACAGAGGTTAGTACGATTTATTTCCAGTTATTAAGATAAGAGAGTGTATGCAAGGGTCGTTGCACTAGACGTCGAGAAAAATAAATTGATTCTCTCTACGACTCAGATATGACACTAACATAAGACGCAACATACATAACATGCAGGGCACTGGACAACTGAAACTCCGAAGTTATTATTATTAAGTGTACAATGACATACATGATGTAAAATATATTATATATTTATTGCAAAACATACTGCTACTTACTTTTTATTATATATGTGGTTTTTTTATGAGATTAGCCGGTAAACCGGCACACAGATGGTAAGCAATCGGCGTCGCCCATGGACACCCGGAACACCAAAGGCGTTACAAGTGCGTTACCGGCCTTTTGGGAATTAGGAGTTTGAGGATTGTGGGTGATTGGGGAGACTAGGGAAGGGGGTAATTGGGCCTCCGGCAACCTCACACACACGACGAAACACAAAGTGGTCCTGGAAAGTGTATTTCAACTAAATTGTAATGTAATCTTCATTTTTATACAGTCTTGTTTTGAGTCCAATGTAATAAGGGGTGAGCCTTTGTCATACACAATTTCAGATTCCGTGTTATACTATTAAGAATTTTCGAAAAACCGAAGTAGGTGTTATTCTTTTCTCGATCTCAGGATTGAACCTTAAATCTAACCAAGTTGTGGGTTGCGTCCAGCAACCACGCTATGAACGAGTTTTTCAAACGTACTTCTTTAAATGACACAATCTGACGTGAGAGTAGCAATATGATTTTATGTATGCTGTCATACGAATGCTTCACAGTGGTCTTATAAAACCTGTAATTACATAATTATCTTTAATCATGAAATCTTTCGCTTACAATTTCCTCATGGTCATATGAGGTCCAAGAAAGATACTCCAGTCTCAGTAGGAACATGAAAACATCATTAAAGTAGCTATAATTGCATACTAAACGGCATTCTGTTAAGCATGTTCAAAAATGTTTAAAAATTGATGTGCCCGAAATGAGCATGGTAATTTTAAGCAACATTCCGACACATGCTACTAAGTGACAAGTGTAAAGTTGAAACATGCTTTCGTGTTTCAAATTATACGCATTATTATATACTTATAATACTAAGTATGTGTAAGTCAAAGTCAAAATAATTTATTTCAATTAGAACAAGAAGGCATTTTTGAACGACAAAACACCTTTACACTGTTTTTGTATATTTTCTAGTATGCTCTCTAATAAAATTGTAATGAAAGTTGTGTAAAGTATGAATTCGAAGATAATTTTCAAACCTTTTTCGCATTATACGTATAAAATATTAATATTGATGTTTTTATCAGATAAAAATTGGAAACTTCCGTCAGTACTCGTTCCATAACTGCATGGCGTACAAGAAGGTGTCGATGTTGAAGAAACATTGCAACTGTATACCGCTATCATTTCCCAAAGAAGGTAATGCAGCTTACATTTATCATGCCATCAAAATAATATAAAATATTAGGTACTTCGCAGTGCCTACGTATCTTGTTATAACCTTGTGAATTCAGAGATAGTAAGACATTTTCTTTGTAGCAAAATGGTAACATAGCTCCAAAAATATCACTTAAATAGGTACATCCTTATTAATAATAGACTGCATATTTTAAATGTCCTAAAGCTAGTCCTAATTAACACTTAACCCCTCGAGCGTCCTTATGAGCACCCGGTGGACCATAAGAAAAAATGCTCCATGCTGCTTTCTCTTTTATAAAATCTATTATTAATGTTTTGTTTTTATTTTGACTGTATTTTTTATTTCTATTGTAATGATCCTTGTTTTCTTGTGCTAATGGCCAAATAAATGCATTTTCTTTCTTTATTTCTTTCTTTCTCCAAATGTGTGCACCCGTTGGATCATAAGGAACGCGGACGCTCGACGGGTTAACAGTACTCACTTGCACTGTTAGTACGTGAGAACATTTCACTTCTTCAGGGACAAACTACACGAATTTTCAATTACATTGTTGTCAACAATGTGAATTAAGACGAGACCGTAAGGGACGCATAAAAGTGTGTGTGTGGGCATGTAATTACCTAAATAGCACACATAATATAACACACAGTACTGTGAACACTTTTAAAACTACTTTTTATAAGTTGTTTCTGTAGCTACTTAAGTATTTTCTTTCAGAAGCATATCGTTTCTGCAATTTCAGTGACATGGATTGTTTAGACGAAATTTTGAGTAAGTGGTATTTTATATTTAGTACCTATTTTTAATGCAATCAGTTACTGACGCAATAGATTTTGATAATTTAAATCAATTGTGTAATACGCTTACAACAGAGTAGCTCCGTGTGATGTCTTAGGTGTAATCTCTATGTTTTTATGTGAGACAAAGAAAATCAAATTATACGGCATGATTATTTGAATTTTTATACTGATACAGAATATTACACTTACAGATGAAGCAGAAGACAGCAACGTAACAAGGGAATTAGAGAGTAAAATCACATGCTACCCGGAGTGTGAACACTATGATTATCCGTTAGAGGTCGCTTTGGGTAACTTAGCGGACAGTGCGTACGTGAATGGACTCCTATTCTTGTGAGTTAATGGTATTAATGTATTGTCCACACGACATTTTATCGGAAAAAGGTCTCAGACACTCGATTTGTGCGTTTTAACTTACTAGTAGAATACGGTATTTCACCTTTTGCGAAGACACGAAACTATGTCGAGGACTGTTCCTCGATTTACTTTCCTATTACCTTATGATTAAAGATAATGATTGACAGACTGTAATTATAAAACTATAAAGTAATGAAAAGATTCTCCTTTCATTTCGCCCACGCAATACGCTAGAAATACTTACTTAAATACTCATAAATTGCATTTTATACAATTTCTAAAGTAGCAATCTATTAACCACTCTAGCGCACTCTGGAAAAACCTATTCTTTTAAAATAGAACACACTTAAGATTTACTTGTTGGACATACTGTACTATGTATAATGTATCAAGTACGAAGTTATAGAAAACCGCTTCAACTTTTTTCTTTTCACCTTTCGTTCAGCTCTGAAGTGTAAAGTAGGTATAGATTTTCAACGAATAGTGTTTGTAAACAACAAGAATGTTGTCAACTTGTCCAAATGACACTAGACAATAAATAAATTCTTGTTGTTAAGAATTTTAATGAAATAAAATACTGTTTTGTACAATTGTACATTCTATGTTAAATGGTAACATTGTCCTTAATTTTTGCCTAAAACAATGATCACATTAAGGTCATCATAAGTTGTAATCAGATCTGAAAGCATAATCATCAAGGCTACGTGTGTTACCAATCTTTTCTACAACATTAATGATATCTATTAATTGCTTATTCCAGCAAACTTATTTTTTTTCATTTACATTGTTGCGTGGATACATAACGAGATAATTTTAAGACTGATAGATATTGCACCAACGATACTGCGATTGTGGGAGCTATATCAACATAATAATTTATGTAGTAATAAAAGACAAACTTTTGCAAAATTGAAAATGTTTGCCATTTCGCTCATCTCGTCGTCTATTTTTTCAAGAATCTCGTCTAGACTTTTATAAGGCAATGCAATTTTCATCGTGTTCTTTATATTGCGCGGTCGTAATACAAGATCTTGTTGTTTCATTACAGCGATGACGTTCAACTAAAGAACCGATCACTATTGAATGTTTTCTTCAACGACTTGGTATCTACCAGATACCGACGCGATGTTTATTTGAATTGGCAAAATATTTTAGGTGAGTATTCAAAGAGATGACGGATTTATCTTGCTACTTACATCATTCTTCGGTCATTTCAGTCCTATATTATGTACTTTAAACGAATCTCATTACAAAACTCTGAGGAAAATGGTTTTTAGTTGCTGTTATTTTAGTTCATCGTAAGAACGTACCATTTTATTTAATATTGCTTTGTATAAGGTATATGTATGAATAGATTAATAATGAAACCAAACTTACTTTTCCTAATTCTTTGAATAGTAAAGAATTGATGCCAGATCTATTGCTTACTCGTGCTTGCAACTTTCAAACCAATGTCAGTGCGTCATTTCAAGTACCTACCGCAACTTGCTGCGACTACATTGGCGATAGATTACATTAATAACATTGACTAATACCACCTAATACCTATTTCCTGAACGCCCACTGAGTGGAATCTTTTAAAATATCTATTAATTGTCGATTAATTTGCGTGATAAGTTTGTGTACATCAAAAAGCTTAGTACTTACTTATTGATTGTTCATCGCAAAAAACTATATAGTAGATTAGGTTTAGGATTAGGCGGAAACCATAAACTAAGTTCTTACCTTGCTTATTTAGCTTCTGTCACATTCAATCATCTGGTCGCTGGTCTGCCGATGAATTGTAAACTTTAAATGTTAGTAATATTGTATGTCGTGGTGGCCCGGAGGTTTAAGACGCCCGCTTCTCATGCATGGGGGTGCGGGTTCGAAACCTTCCAAAGGCAAGTACCAATGTGACTTTTTCCGAGTTATATGTACTTTCTGAGATTATTCTGACTCCACTGACACGCGGTGAAGGAAAACATCGTGAGGAAACCTGGGCTTATAATTTCTAATTATAAGTTTGTAATCGCCAACCCGCATTGAGCAAGCGTGGTGATTAATGCTCAAACCTTCTCCGTGTAAGAAGAGGCTTTGCTCAGCAGTGGGCATTTATAGGCTGTTAATGTGTAATGTGTAATATTGTATTCTAGAGAATTCGAATTGAGTTGGAAAATGCTACATTTTCCCTAATTTTAATTTTAGGCTGTTTTGTGTTCTGTACTAATGTGAAGCTTATATACATCCACCACTGAGCTCGATCTTCAGCTCTACGCATCGAACCACGTCACCAGCTACCTTGCGTTAAATACGTTTCATAAAGGTTTTCAATTAACGTCAAACTTAACAGCTGACCTTATTATCTTGACGTTGAAATAGATTAAATACTACAAAGAAACTGTTACAGTATAATTTGTCTTACCATTAATGTGTTTTTGCAGCTGCGTTTGGCGGTCTCCTGAGTCTTATGCTCGGGTTCACTTTAATATCCGGCTTCGATCTTATACTATTCTTCACTGTTCGAGTTGCTTACGAACGTTGTACGACCATGACTCGCAAGCCACAGAACAACAAAATATACGTAAACGACTTTAACAGCAGAAAGAATTGGATGGACAATACAATCCCCAACCTGGTCAACCCGAAACCTGTGCAAAATATAAACAATACAACCAAATATAAGCTAAATAATTTCTTAGATCGACGATATTAAAGTCTTATCCACCCTTTTCATATTGTTTGCTTACTTGCTGCCAGTTTATTGTGAATGCTATTGTTATGTTAACTTTAGATCGAGTTTTGTATGACTCGTAATTAAGAATGAGGGACTTGATTATGAACTTTAGATTACACGTTTGTATTTTCATTCTCTGTCTGTATCCTACACGAGTTGTGACACAACGATGTTCTATTATTTTATGTAATAGTCTGTTCAGTAGTTTTGACTTTATGCTCTAAAGTTGACACGGTAGGATTAAATAAGTTCTTATGAGTCGTTTGCACTTGCTGTAGATGCACACTTTTAATGGGTTCATCAAACAAACCTATCCATTATAAATTATGGTACTTAATGAAAAAGTTTACTACTTCTTAACCATAGTGGTGAATGTATAAAGAAGATAGTGGGTATTTTCAATTCATTATATCCAATTAGGTCGTTAGACCTAACAAAAACTTGGTCCTATTTGGTCTCCAAATATTATTTTTCTAACTTTTATAAATGTAATAGTGTTGTTATTTATCATGTTCGGACACAAACATCTAAATACCTTTTCGGCGAATAAATGTTCTAGCATTGATGTAATCAGTGAGATTGGTTCAATGAAATTAGCGCTCTCTTGATATAAGTAATAAAATATCTTTAGATTTTTTGCTTAACTATTTGGTATTTTGCACACTTTAATAGATGATAAGTTTGTAAGAAATGCACTAAGGCTGGTCTCACATTTCACAGTGTCAAGAACATGTCTCTAGTTGTAGTCCCAGCCAAAATTGTCAGGGGCCTGACAATATGGTTCTTTAACGTTACGTCTGATATTAACTCATCAATTTTCCTCACCAGTGTAAATGTATGTGTAACATAATGTACCTTTATCTCAGTATTACATAAACGCTTCAATAAAGTGACTAATGAAAGTGTCATTTGGTTTCAATTACAAGTAGCCTAATACTCCCGTTTTCAAAAACCACCTCATTATCAAAGCCCTTAATACGAATATCAGTATCAGTGCGGTAATGAGGGGGCAAACAGGTATATTATCAATAACGTTATCATTCAGCCTTGGGACAAAACATAAGGAAAAAGCTTACTTCCCCGCCAAGAAAAATGCTTATTTACATAAATAACTAGCTGCGCTTGCGACTTTGTTCGCTTGAAATAGTGATTTACTGCGCTTACCCCGTAGGTTATAGCGTGATAACATGTAGCCTACATGTTGACCTGACCTGTTAGTAATAATCGTACAAAATTTGAAGTAAATCCATGCAGTACTTTTTGAGATCATCCCTGACATACATACAGACAAACTATATTTTTGGATAAAAAGTTTAATAACCATATTTTTGGCTTCAGTATCGATTGTAGATTATTCTTTTAGAAAAATATTCAGTACAGTGTGCAGTTTTCACTTTTCTACGATTTTATTATATGTATAGAAGATCACTGTCTCGTTAGCCGAGTGGTCGCAAATGCGACTGCCGGGCAAGGGGTCTCGGGTTCGATTCACGGGCCGGGTGAAGTATACTGGGTTTTAAAAAAAATCTCAGTCGCAGCACGGAGTCTGGAATTGTGCCTGGTATGTGGCAATAGGCTCACCCCCTATTACATGGGACTCATAACATAAAGAATGAAAAGTGGGTGTTACATTGTACAGTGGCATAAACGGCACCTCTGCCTACCCCTTCGGGGATAAAAGGCGTGATGTTATATATAAAAATTTTTTATAGAAGATCACGATGATATTGTAAAAGATCGTTTCTGACAATGTCAGACATGATCCTTGTTTTATTAAAACTTATTATACCGATTTATAATAAATAAATTTGGAATGAGTAGTTATTCTTGATTTTAGAATTATATGATCTGATCAAACCCGACTATGTGTAGGGAATTATTACGACTATTGTAGATATTGTGTCCTGGAAGCATAACTTGAGAAATAAGACAAATTTGTGAACGATTTGCCTGCTTAACTAAAGCTAAACTTGATTGACTGTCACAAGTCGATAACAAATATATTACATCACAGTGAAATTTTATAGATAAACTAGCGGACCCGACAGACGTTGTCCTGCATATCCACTTGAATGTATAAACAAAAATTTATTGAAATTAGTTCAGTCGTTTAGGATAACTAATCTAGACACCGACTGCAGCGCCATCTGCCGGGCTGATTTGTGAATCTAAACCATCCAGGGCGCCACTCAAACGCATACAGAAAAATTCATTTAAATCGGTGAAGCCGTTTAGGAGGAGTTCAATACACACGTACAGCAGAATTATATACATATAAAGATGCGAAAAGGAATTAAATCAGTTGCATTTCAGCACCGTCACGTGCATGTACGGGGATTAACGTGTTCCCTTCATATCTTTATATTCCACTTGACACGTTTACCTGTTTGACTGATTGCAACAAGCAATCTTATGGTCTGCTTTGTGAAACAAGTGAAACAAGTGAAACAAGTGAATTTATTTCTGCAAATAGGCTACAAGGCAGCACTTTTACACGTCAATTTTATCAAGCGAACGATGAGGTCGACATTTACTGTGAAGATATAAGTATTTCATACATAACAATAAATTCCACGCCGCCGTAATTAATACCACGCCGCCTTTTATCCCCGAAGGGGTCAGTAGAGGTGCACATTACGACACTTAGTACAATTTTTTATTTATCATTATTTATGTTATGAGTCCCATGTAATATACCTGTTGCCATGTACCAGGCATTCTCAGTACTACTGAGAATTATATTAAAAACCCTGTAATACTTTGCCCAACCCTTGCCCGGCAGTCGTAAATATTTTCTATAAAACAAAACCTATTATAAAACGATACGAGGTTTTCTACCAAAATCCTGTATTTGACGCTGTTGGAGTCACTATGCCAAAGAATTAGGCAATAGTAACAGTAAAAGCATTAGCGAAATTATAATTCATCAATGTTACACCAATATGTCTACAACGTTATTAATTACTCTCAAAAATTAATAATCAGCACAAATAATCTTAAGATTAGTAATAATTTGCAATTATTCCTAATGTTTCCTTATTTAGATTGAATGAAAGGAGTTATATATTGAGCAGAAATCCACAGCTTAATATAATACGTTATCTAATCAAAACGATTTAATAATAAATTTTAGAGTTAATTCGATTACTTCTTAGAAAAACTTAATAAACTACCTTCGTTTACACTAGAAAGGTATATCTTTAGAGAATTTGAGTACGTACGTAAGCAAGATAAACTTAAGACGAGTGTTGTGTTTTCCTTGTAGATTGCACTGTTTCCCCCTATTGTTTTAAATAGTCTATTAATGAAAATGAAAGTGATATCATAAACGAAGATTAATGGAATTATTTGTACGCTAGTTTCCTCAAGTCACACGCCAGCTTTTAGTTCTACATTCATTCAATTTGTTCATTGTTTTCCTTACTTGTCTTTAGTGACTTCTAATCGATTAATTTACTGTATTTACGCCTTGTTGGTTATGTAATTTATTAGTTGATAGTATGGGCATACATAGAAAATATAATAACTAAATAATCTTCGAAGGATATTATTTGTTTCAAACCCAGTTTAATTTCAGAGAAAATGAAAATCGGAAAATTTATACTTTGACCAAATAAGGTTCTCAAATTTAGGTAAAATTTAAATTCAAGGACCAAGTAGCTCAGTAAAAAATTCTAATAAAATAGTCCTTAATCCATTGCGCAACAATTTATTTTCAATTAATTTAGCATAAAAAGTTAATTTCACTATAGGCACTTAGTAATAAATATCAAAAGACGTCAAGATGTCTGAATATTTGGTCATTTTAATAATTACCTGAGCGTTTAGACACAAATATGTCGAGTATTATATGGAGTACCTGAAAACCTGGAAAAGTATGGAAAATGTACCTACCTATGTTTTAGAAAATGTTTGCAGATTTCTAAGGTACTTGGCGAATGTATCAATGGTAGTAGTTTACTAAGCCTTAGACTTTGTATTAATTGTCGTGCCTAACCTTCATTCAGTTGATTAGGGACAAGTATTTTTAGATGTTAACTAAAGTGTGCCTCACTGGCTGCCTCATTAGCCGAGTGGTCACAAGTGCAACTGCCGGGCAAGGGGTCTCGGGTTCGATTCCCGGGTCGGGCAAAGTATTACTGGGTTTTTAAAAACCTCAGTAGTAGCACGGAGTCTAGAAGTGCCCGGTATATGACAATAGGCGTGAGCCTATTGTCATATTTGTCATACCAAATATACCGGGCACATTTCTGCCTAGTGCCGAGGGGGTGACCCCTATTACATGGGACTCATAACATAAATAGTGAAAAGTGTTACATTGTAAAGTGGCATTAAGTGCCGTAATGCGTGCACCTCTGCCTACCCTTTCGGGGATAAAAGGCGTGATGTTATGTTATGTGTAACTTCAGTGTGAGGCTATACAGAGGTTCTGGTAATTAGTTCCTTTTTCTCTTTTCAAATGGGATATCCGAGACAAAATTCCAATCACTTTTATTACTTTAGACAAACCATGAACTCCTGACAATAATTTAGAGCAGTTTAATAAACCAGTTCCCAAAATACTGATCCCGAAATATTAGAGTAAAAGTTTTCAAATAAAATATTCATTCGTTCTTTAATATCGTTCATTCTTTTGGAATTTTTTAGCAGTAAGTTGTGACGAGATGATAACGAACGAGTTAAAGTTGATTAACGTTTGCAGAACAAATGTACCGTGTGTACTAACTAAAAGTAATGTGATGAAGTAGTTAGTGAAACTAATGAGCGTAAACCGTAACCTTTTATCCTACAAATATTGCAAATTCCTGTATTACGTAGCCGCGTAGCGTAAACGAATAATAATGTCTCCGGCTTGCCTTACAGCTACATTACATTACTTACTTGTACCTGCGACTCCCATTAATATATTACAGTAGCCATATACATATACAAACTACCTACAACAAACACTCTTTTCATAAGCATTTTACTTATAAAAATAAATTACTCGTGAAATGTTTTAAAATCGAGGAAGTGGAACCTTTATTCCTCTTGAAGGGTTTATGGCTCAATGTTTATTTTGTTGGTAGTTTTCTCAGAACGTTCTAAAATGTTTAGTGTTGTTAATGACCACTGAGCTATATCTGGCGCCGTGGAGTAACCCGTACGAAATATGGCGGTTACATAATTTTTCAGTACTCTTAAATTCTATTGTGGCTAGATTTCTGTCACAATTTTTTTTATTGTCCTTGTACATATATATATTAATTAAAATAACCGGA